CACTGCCTGGAGAGATGGCTCAGTGGTTAAAAGCACTCAATGTTCTTGAAGAGGACTTGGGTTTATTTCCCAGTTCCCATGTCAGAGAGCTCATACTGCCTGTAATTCCAGTACAAGGGGAACCTAACACTCTCTTCTGGCCTTGGGGTGTACCTGCATACATGTAATTCACATAAACTCAAACACACACACATGAATTCACAAAAGCTTAAATTTTTAAAAAAGACTTATTCATTTTTTTTTTCTGGGCAGTGATGGCACATGCCTTTAATCCCAGCACTCGGGCGGCAGAGGCAGGCGGATCTCTGGGAGTTTGAAGCCAGTCTGGTCTACAGAGCTAGTTCCAGGATAGCCAGGGCTGTTACACAGAGAAACCCTGTCTCAAAAAACAACCCAAAGTGCTACAGCAATGCCTCAGAGGTTAAGAGCACTGGCTGTTCTTCCAGAGGACCTGGGTTCAACTCCCAGTGACCACATGGTGCCTTCACAACCATCTACAATGACATCTGTGCCCTTTTCTGGCTCACAGGCAGAATACTATATACATACATACTAAATAAATCTTTTAAAAAAGATCTATTTATTTTTATTTTATGTGCACGAGTGTTTTACCTGCATGTATGTATGGGCACTGAATACATGCCTGGCACCTGAGGAGGCCAAAAGAGGGTGCCAGGGACCCAGAAATAGTTTCGTCACCATGGGGGGCTGTGTGTGCTGGAAACTGAATGAAGGTTCTCTACAATATTCTTAAAGGCTGAGTCATCTCTCTCTGGCTCCAATTTTAAAAAAGATTTAAAAATAAAGAGTTCAGGGCTTGGCATGGTGGTACATGCCTTTAATCCTAGGGTTCCAGAGTAAGAGGGAGGCAGATCTTTGTGAGTTCTTTGCCAAGCTGGTCTACATACTGAGTGTCAGGACAGCCAGGGCTACATAGAGATTTTTGTTTGTTTGTTTGTTTTTTGAGACAGGGTTTCCCTGTGTAGCTTTTGAAGCCTATCCTGGCACTCACTCTGGAGACCAGGCTGGCCTCGAACTCACAGAGATCCACCTGCCTCTGCCTCCCGAGTGCTGGGATTAAAGGCATGTGCCACCAACGCCTGGCTTTACATAGAGATATTTAAAAACAAAATTATAACAATGATGATGCTAAAGAATTCAAGGTCATCCTTGGCACATAACAAGTTGGAGGTTAGCCTCGAGACCCTGGACAAACAAGCAAAAAAATGAAAATATAAATAAAAAGCTAAATCAATTAAATTTAAAAACAGGTCCAGGGGGGCGTGAGATGACTCAGTGGTTAAGAGCACCCACTGCTCTTCCAGAGGACCTGGGTTCAATTTCCTGCATCCACATGGCAGCTGGTAACTGTCTGTACCTCCAGTTCCAGGGGAGCTAACACCCTCACATAGATAGATATACATGCAGGCAAAACAATAAAGCTCATAAAATAAAAATAAATAAACAAAAAAAGGACATCCAGGTATCCTGGTGTATTCCTAAACTTCCAGCCCTAGGGAAGCAGAAGCAAGACGATAAGGAAACTGAGTTTAATCTTGGCTACTTACTGATTTTCCAGTGAGCCTCCTTTATACAAAGGACTTCTCACAAACAGGAGTGGGGGGATAGGCACCAGTGGCTCCAGATGAAATTCCCAGCATTGCAAACAAGTCACTAGCAGGTTGAAATAACCATAAACCGCTAGTCTTATGTATTTATTTATATATATATATATATTTGAGACAGGGTTTTTCTGTGTCGACCTTGGCTGTCCTGGAACTCTCTTTGTAGACCAGGCCGACCTCGAACTCACAGAGATCTGCCTGCCTCTGCCTCCCAAGTGCTGGGATTAAAGACCTGAGCCACCACTGCCTTACACCTTTGCAGTCCTATGCTCTGAATAGCTTGGAAGAAAGCTCCCTTCCCCTGAGTAGCAAATCCCTGCACACGGTGTGGACCAGTTGGTTCCTGAGGCAATAGATGAAGGGATTCAGCAGGGGCGACACTGTGGTGTTGAAGAAAGCTATTCCTTTGTTGAGGCCCAGCCTCCCTGTCTGCGTGGGGTTGAGATACATAATGATACAGCTTCCATAGGTGAGAGACACCACCAGGATGTGGGAAGAACAGGTGGAGAAGGCCTTGCTCCGGCCCCCAGCAGCAGGCAGGCGCAAGATGGTGCTGAGGATACAGCCATAGGACAAGGCTGTGATCAGTGTAGCGATGAGCAGGGTGCACACAGCCACCAGGAAGGCCACCAGCTGCAGAAGCCTGGTGTCTGCGCATATCAGCTCCAGCAAAGGGGAGCTGTCGCAGAAGAAGTGGTTGAGGACCCGAGGACCACAGAAAGGGAGAGACAACATCCAGGCAAACAGCCCAGGCAGAGCCAGGAGGCTGGCTGCCCAGCAGGCCAGCACCAGGGAGGAGCAGACACGGGGCGTCATGAGCGCAGGGTAGCGCAGGGGCCAGCAGATGGCCAGAAAGCGGTCGGTGGACATCACGGCCAGCAGCAGGGTCTCCACGGCACCCAGGGTGAAGTAAAGAATCATCTGCGCAAAACAGCGGTGGCGGGAGATGGCCCCGCGCGCCGCCAGCAGGTGGGCCAGCATCTGCGGGGACACAGTGGACGTG